GGGGGGGCGAGCGTGAGCCCGAGGTTCCGGGAGCGAGAGACAACGGGAGAGGCAGATGTGAGCACTAGGCAGCTGGGAGGCGGCGGCGGCGGCGGCGGGAAGGGGCGAGGGGCGAGGGGCGAGGGGATCCCGGTGCCTCCAAGGGCGGGTACCTTTGCGATGGGGCGGGCCTCGCGGCGGGAGGGTCACTAGCAAGGGAGGGGAGGGGGGGGGGAGAGACAGAGAGGAGGAGAGGGAGCACGAGTCGAGGGGCAGCAGAGGGGGGGGAGGGGGGTAGGAGGAGAAGGAGAGCGTGTGCTGGCACCGCGGCCAGCCTGCGGCGGCCGGCGGCGGGCACTTTTCGGCCGGCCGTGCGCCGCGGCAACGGAGCCGCAGCCCCGCCCCGGGCAGTCAGGCAACGCAAGCACCCGGCCGGGCGCCGGGAAAAGGCGACGCCCCTGGCACCGGGCCCGGCCCGGCCGCGCCAGCGCCACAGGGTCTAGAAAGCTCCACCTGCCAGCGGCTGGTCGGCCGGCTGGCCGGCATCCGGTCCGGGCGAGGCCCGAGAGTGATGTGACAGGTGGGCCGGGCGATGTCGTGGCTGAGGCCGGAGGCCCTGCGCGAGGCGCGACCGGTCCGGCCGATTGCGTTGCCGGCCCGGCGCACGCACGGCCGCCGCGCGCGCGCGCGCGCGCTCGCACCCTTAGCCCCATGCCCGGGGGGAGAACCGGGCGGGGGGGAGCGGCGGGCAACCGCCATCCGGGGCCGGTCCCGGCTGGCCGCTCGCCCGCCCGCGCCCGCGGCGGCCGTGCGCAACGAAAGAGCTCCGACTAGTGACTTCGGCCGGACGGGGCCTCCCCCCCGGTTATCGGCCCCCCCCCCCGCCGCGGTCCAACGCCCAGTCCATCGGGGTGGGGGGACACTCCGTCCGCTGGCCGGCGCGCGTCACACTTTGAAACCGGGCGTGTGGGCGCCCCGTGATACGGCGCCGTGACCACCGGCCGCGGAGGTCACACATTCCGCACGGCTCCCGACAATTCCCGGTAGATCGTGGGGGGGGCGGGGCCCCGGGCGCGTGGGGGGGACGGGCGCGGGCCGGTAAGCGGGAAACGCCGCCTGGCAGCGGCGTTTTTATTTTTTTTTTTTTTTTCGCAGCACACACCTGGCAGCCAAGTTGGAAGAATGCTTGCCGCCCCCCCGGGGGTGGGGGGGGCGGGGAGGCGCAGCCGCGCAAGAATGGGGCCGGGTTGTCGTCTGGGAACGGCCGGACCGTCGGTGTCGCGCCCGCACATGCCGGCCCCCCGGACCCGGGATCCGTGCGCCTCTCCCCCGGCGGGAGGTGGCCCTGCGAGCGGGGGGGGGGGG